ACTAGCTATACCATTGGGAGTTTACTGCCATAAAGAGACACTGATAGATTAGCTATATCATTGGGAGTTTACTGCCATAAAGAGACACTAATATACTAGCTATACCATTGGGAGTTTACTGCCCATACATAGACACTAATAGGCTAGCTATATCTTCAGTTAGATTCATCAGTTTGGAAATATTTGATATCAAGTTTAACTTTTTAACTTTTTTTTTCCCTCTCATTTCCAATGCAGTTTCCAAGAGAGAACAATTAGATAAAATGCGTGTGTCACTGATAATGTTCAATACATGAGCAAGAGTGTTTTTCACTATCTCTCATCCCTAAATCAAGATATAGAAGTGAATACATTCCATTGATTTAGTATCGCTACTAGGATTAAGATAAATATGTACTTTTGCTGAAACTATTAAAATTGCGTTTATACAATCAACAGACGTAATTCACTACTTTTTATTCATGTTCCTTCAGATCCGAGTTGGGATACACTCAGGACCTGTTGTTGCTGGGGTAGTTGGAGTCAAGATGCCAAGATACTGTCTGTTTGGGGACACCGTTAACACAGCGTCACGAATGGAGAGCCACGGAGTGCCAGGCAGGATCCACGTCAGTCCTACCTCCTACAAGTAAGTTGACGTACACATCAGTCTTTATACCTGCAGCTATATTAATGTATATGTAAGGCTCGTACAGATTATTTTAAGTAACGATATATTCAAAATATCTCCTTTTATGTTTTATTCCCGTCACATACATTTTTGTTTTACAATTTGTTGTACATTGAAGTATACATTCTGGTTTGATAAACAACTAAGTCAACATCGGTCAATTCCAGAAAAAAAAATTGGGCAAGTGGTCTCACGTGTTAATTCTGTGATGTACCTGTCAATAACACTAGATCTAAGTACAATGACTTGACTTGTACGTCTTTCACCGGGTCAGTTATGCTAAGTCGATGAAATAAACACATACAGGTTACATGTAGTCAAGTTACCTGTCAAATCTGCTACGCACTTGTTAGTATATATAACATCAGTTCTATAATATACAAGTAAATAGATATGCAGTTTCTAACACGTGCACACTACCATATGTAAGGATACTGGTTAATTTGAAAACGTATTGGTTTGTATATTCGAGAAGTAAGGTTTATTCTACCAAGAACATGTAAGTATACACGTGTCCACTGAGTAGCTGCACAGCCAATGTGAACCTGTTCTACAACACTCATGTAAGTATACACGTGTCTACTGTGTAGCTGTACAGACAATGTGAACCTGTTCTACAACACTCATGT